GTCAGATACCACTAAACTTTGCTCGATGACTCGTTTATACCATTAAACTTTCATTTTTGATAAATTATAGCACTAAACTTTAGTTTTACATTTAATTATGTCATTGTACCGTTATGTCACTAACGAGACGATGAGATGCCTAATAGTTGTTGGTGTGGCATGCCACACCAAAACGATGACATTTTGGTACAATTGTTCGGATGCTTAAAACAATGTTGTATTAGACACTAAACATTTGGGGTGTATTGATTTTGTCACTGAACATTTTAACAGTTTTTTTACCACTACACTTTTCAGCCAACGTCGATAGTCAAGCACCGTCGTTCATCGGTCATTTGTTGTGGCAAGATCAGTACCATGAAAACCCATGGAAAGTTCATTTAAACGTTCAACATATTAATACTCCATTTAAAATCCATTTAAAAGTTCAACGTATTAATCTATCGACAATATTCTTTTTACCACTGCATTTTCTCCTAGGATTGGTTTTCCATGAACTCACTCAAAATCGACGAAAATCCATCTAAAAGTTCAACATAGTAATACTCCGATCTCTTTCAATGATTGACCGATGATGCTAGTTTTGAGATATGTTGTTCGTCTTCTTGAAATAATTCTTTTCATTCTTCAGATTTTTTAGCAAACACCCCAAATCCCGTAAATCTAATAAAGTCTCCAAACATCTAAAAACAAGTAGATATTTTGTGTTTAATTCTATCAATTTTGAGTGGGTTTCATGGAAAACTAATCATATGAGAATAATAATGAGCCAAATGCATTTTGGTACAGATTTTGCTGCGAAATATGATCATGACAAGCGACGATTATTTGCTGGTGGCGGTCAAATTGCAATGGTAAAAAAGAAATTTGTTTAAAAGTTCAGTAGCATAATCGATACACCCCTAAAGTTTTGTGTCTAAAACGATATCGTTTTGGTGTGGCATGCCACATCAGCAACCGTGAGTTATGTCATCCTCTCGTTACCGACTTAAAAACAAAGTGACATAATTAAATGTAAAACTAGAGTTCAATACTATAATTAGTAAAATTGAAAGTTTAGTGATATAAACGAGTCAACAGATAAAGCTCACTGGTATCTGGTGTAGTTTACCCAATATATATATATATATATATTACATTGTTTAAAACCTTTTTTAAATTTGTGTTGATTTATGTAGGAAAATTATACTTATAACAATTACAAGATGATATTTATCAAAATTTTCTTAGTTTATTGATTATACACTCCGTAGATAGAGTCGTCTGAACTTGAAGTATGAAGGTTTATGTTCTCTTTTATTATTAAACATAATTTTTAATGCTAACGTGCAGTAACTTTGTCATTTCATTTGTGGCCATGTAGTCCTGAGAGGTAAATCTGATAAAATAGGCTCTTTATTTCTAGGCCATAATTTTGATGCAATAACTTTATGGTCCTAGAAGATAAAATAAAGTCTTTATTTCTAGGCCATATCATCCAAATCCAAGGTAAGAGGATGCGATTCGAAGGTGTCCCCTCATCAAAGAGATTCTTCCAATGAAACTTTTTATTGATTCCAGATTGTGCATCAACTGGTAGCCAAAACTGGAGCTACCTTTTGTTTCTTTTCGAATCATACCTTTCTGTGGCCAATGTAACTTGTTTCTCGTACTCATCCTAAAATTCATTTTTTTCAATTAATTATTTATTTTATTGATTATTTCCATTTTAAAAATTTATTTATGTTCATCTCGTATAAATTTTTTCATTTATTTTAAAAAAAAATTAATTAGTTTATGTTTATATCTATATATATTGAATAAGTAGATTGCCTTCATATTTTATCCAAAGAAATAATAATGCTGTAACAATTACAACGAACAAAGATCAACAATACATCCCCCACTCCAAAAAAAAAATAGCTGTCCCTTGTTCCCATATGTAATGGGGTAAGGGGGAGGTAAGATAGTAGGTTGCCCCCAACACTAGGTTGAGAGCAGCTTCCATAGGAGACCTCCAAATTATGAAATGCCCTCCATGGGACTCGATGTAACATTTGCTCAACCTTATACTAACAATTCCCTTAATACCAACCACAATATCGTTTACCATCCGGACCCTCCCCATAAACTGCCTATAATTCCTCTCTCCCTAGAGTTTATGTTCTTATATTTGTGAATTCCTCTAGGTGATAACTAACTAAACTCTGGTTAATGTTAATATAAAAAAGTATGTTATATGTTTATTTTATTAAATTTAAATTTAGTTTTTAATATATTGTATATTTATTTTATAATCTTTATTCGAAGTTTATGAGTACCTCTTCCAATCATATTAACTTTATCGTCTTTGACAGGTCTATTTTAACGAGTTCAAACGGCTTAATGTAAATTCTAATTAAAGGATTCAATGGTAGCTTATGACTTCATCAATAAGATAAACAAAGCAATAAAAATTAAAACAATCTTAATTGAATTGATCCACATCTTTTGATTTTATATACACTATTTTCATGTTGATTTATTCTCGGAAAAAAAGAAATAAAATTATGTTATCGCACTTAAGGATCTTGATCTTTATATTAAATATTAAAGTGTTACATAAAATTCATATCAAAGAAATGAATTCCTATAAAACCTTTTAATATAACGTCTTATTATTTGATCATACAAGCAGACACGTATGTGTTTCCTATAAAATATAACAATTCAGTCCATATATTATTCGAAAGTATGTAAACAAAGACAAGCGTCAGTTGAAAAATAAAAAAAAAAGTTTAATTTAAAAATGAAGTTGTTAAAACTCAAAAAGAATCCAATTCTAAAAAAATCATAAAGTTTTAAAAAAACTTAAAATTTAACGTTTTACGTTTTAACTATTTGTTGTATTTGTTTAAAAACTTTAGAAACTTTTATTTGTTTCTTAACTTTTTTTTTATAATTTTTAATGTTTCATAATATTTAAAAAATATTCAAAAATTAATTGAGCCCAGTTAACTAAGTATTAATTCAATTGAGATATAATCGAAAAGGATAATATTCTTTTATAAATGATCACTGATATTATTGTAAGGATGTTTTAATATACTTTTTATATAGCTTTAAATTATATAAAACAATTTAAAACTATTACTTATTTTTGTGATTCACAAAGGAATCAATTTTGGTATTAGCCGTTGTTTGACAACTTTTTTATTAAGGTTAGATTTGATATTGTCACAATTGATCAAGATAGTGGTTATTTGTTATAATGTTGATCTTCCTTGTTTTGGACCATCTGATTCGATTTGGATACGAATTTATGTTCGTAGATAGTCACATTGCTCGATTCTGATTTATGGTTTGTCGATAATATTTCAATGGTTTAATATTCTTTTGTGTTTCATTTATCGATACGATCAGATCGGTTCATATCTATCTTATGTTTGAATTTATTTGATTAAGTTTTTTTAACATTTTCCTTGTATGGTTCTTATGTATTCTTAAGTGACTAATTTCTTGTGTTGTTGATTATAGGAAAATGTCTTTATTATCTATATTTATTTTACGATTGTAATTATAAATCTTTATAATTATTTGAATATTTTTTATTTTTAATAAAACTAACGGTTTATGTATATATATATAAACTAATACTCAGAGATTAAACAAGACAATTCTTATTCTATATAATATTTTCGAGTAAATTTTAATAAATAAAATTTGTTCAAATAAATTGTTATATATCCCAACGTAAACCTGATAAAATTTCAACTATAAGTCTAAAATTAATTGTTTTTAGGTAAACAACGAAAATAGTCACTAAAGTTTGAGTAAATTGTCATTTTCACCACTGATTTTCAAAGTCACAAATCGATCACTAACGTTATCATTTATTACAAATTGGTCACTCGACATTAATAACCATTAATAGGCGTGACGGAAAGCACAACTGTCACGTTAATTGCTTACATGGACTGGGTTAACCGCAATGTTAAAGTCTCAAAAGCCTTCAACTGTCACCTATTATCCTTTAAAAAAAATCCTAATCCCTAAACTTAATTTAGGATTTTTCATTCGTATATATATTCTTTAATTTTTTTTGAAAATTGCAAGAGAAGAGAAATCCTATGAAGATGGAAGACTCCATTGATGTTCCGCTTTGCAACTGTTGATGCCCAACTAATGTTTTATTTATTTTTTATTTACTATCAAACTCAAAAGAAGTTTACCATAAAGCATAGCATTTCCCCCCTTTGTTGTAACTCCATGAAGAAATGAATTTATGGAAGAAAAAGAAATAAGTTTATGGAAGAAAAAAATGTGTTTACGGAAGAAGAATAAAGGGGTTTATGGAAGAAGAAGAAACAAGTTTATGTATAAGAAAAAAGTGGTTTTATGGAAGAAGAAGCAATGAGTTTATGGAGGAAGAAGAAACGTGTTTATGGAAGACGAAGAATGGTTCATAATGGTAAATGAAACTCTTGATCCCCTTTATTAATTAATTATAATTATTAATTAAATATCAGTTCAAGAACCAGTCAAAGGGATTCCAATGGTCTTCTAGCGTGGTGGTCAAAAGTCCATGTAAGCACGCCAGCTATGTTTTCCGTCACACGTGTTAATTGCACTTAACGTCGAGTGATCAGTTTGTAAACAATTGATAACGTTAGTGATTGATTTGTAACTTTTGAAACTTCTGTGAGAAATACGAAAACTTACTTAAACATTAGTGACCAAGTATGTAGTTGACCCTTGTTTTTATTTACTCACCTCAAATGATATGAAGATTAAAATACTATAATGGAGGGGCTAAATTACTGATTATTAAGAAGAACCTTGAATATTGGTACCTTTTATCATTTTTATCTTTAGGGAAAGGAAGTCTTTCGGCTTTACCGCTTTCGAGAGCCAGATAGTTTGATATTGGTTGTCAAAATCATATAGAATATGAGTTGGAATATCTTCTAGGATTAACCCAGAATTTATATTAATGTTTTTCACACAATATATACCCACACATATTGGTATATAATTTCTCACTCCTTTTTTCCTGCAAAAAGACTGGAGAAATAATGAATCCAAGTTCTCTGGAGATTAGCTTGAGTCTTAAGCCAACATATGTGCCTAAATCCTTGAGCAGCTTGCTCTTTGAGCTATCGAGGATTGATAATGAGTACTATAAGTTATCAGTGTTGAGTGATTATATTCGCAAGCATGAAGACGAGTTAACCAGGGTTGAGGCTTTAAAACATGAACTTCCTCAGAGCTACCTACTTCTAATGGAGGGTAAGTTCATTCTTTAAAACAATAACTCAAAGAAATTGTTTCCATTTTCTCTTTACTTCCTGATTTTTTCCATCTTTTGAAACGTATATAGCCATTGAAAAACTAAAGGAGGAATTCCTGAACATAAAGAAAAATCTGCAAACCAAGAGGGAAATCCAGGAAATTAGATGCAGTGCTACAGAAGAAGATTGTGTAAATAAGCAGAAAACATTGAATAATTCTGACATGTATGAGACTCTATCTCTCAAGGGTTCAAATCTCAAAGAAATCCAGCAGCCATGCAATCAGGAAAGAAGCATGGAAGGGTTATTGTTGGCATGCAAAGAGAGTGGTTGGGTAGATTCTCTTGGATCATCAAGCAGTGGAAAGGAAAAGGAGGCAGCAGCCATTGTTGAATCATCGAGAAATTATAACCAAGGTTTCTTGTATCTGATCAAGAAAGAAGATGAAGGTTTATATAATTATGATGGCCCAAAGCCACTGACTCAATCAATTTGGAAGAACAATAGGATATGTTGGTCTTCAGAGCTTCATTCAAGATTTCTGGAGGCTCTGAACATGGTTGGAGGCATTGAAGGTCAGATCACTGAACATCACATATATAATTAGTTTGTGCATGGGAAGTTGATATAATAGTTTGAGTTGTTTTCTTTTCTTTTTTTTTTCATGTTAAACAAGCAGTGGCTACTCCAAAGCAGATTAGAGACTTGATGAAGGTTGAGGGGCTGACAATTGATCAAGTAAAAAGTCATTTGCAGGTTATTCAATCTTTTTTAAGCTTAATGTAATAAATGCACACATATCCACACTTAAACCAAAATTATATATCTGCAGACTTTAGAAATATTAATTTTGCAAAGAACATTTCATTTTAATCCCAATTTTTACTGTTTTGGAACATATAATAACCATTCTAAATATATAATTTCAGAAATATAGGCTTCGTTCTGGTAAGGATCGGTTGCAGTGCTGATGCATCAACATCAGGAGCTTTCTGAACTAGCAGATGTTCGCCAAAAATTGAATAATGTTTGAGGTAGCCATTCAGCCAGGTTCCTCCAACTCACAAGCAATGATTGCTTCTCTAATAGGAAGATAAGAGATGGACAGGGGCACGATGAGGCACAGTCATCCTTTTGAAAATTTTAAACTATTGTATATTTTAGATACTATTTTTAGTTATTTTCCATTGATAATCTATTTTAGTTTTTAAAAAATTTTAAGTTCATTATTTCTAAAATTAGAAGCTCACACCTTGATATAAAATCTTACTTACATCCATGAAGAAGGCTGTTCTTTTTATCTCCTCGGTCGGAGAACTAAACAAGCTAGAAAGCTAGTTACCTGGCTATATAGATATAGATAGTATTTTACATGTTATCTATAGCTGTATTTTTGTTATTTTTGTCATATAAATTCATTTACATTTTAATGCTAAAGAAAAAAAATAGAACTCTAAAAGTCATTTTTTTCATCTATGATCAAATAAATATACTTGATGGCTGAGGTTAAAAATATCTTAATCTAAAATTAGGTATTCATCTCCTCAAATTAATCGAATGAATGATTAAATTATATTTTTTTCATCATTGAAATATATTTTTAATTTTATTTTGATTATTAAATTTTGATTTTTTAATTTAATTATTTAACTTTGAATTATTCTTATTTTAATACTCTAACATTTGTAATGTTAGACACCTGGATTTATTGGGGGGAAATTAGGTACCAATTTGAAAAAATCAATATTGTTTAGGCACTAATTTTTTATTAAACCTTTTTTTAGTAATATTTTGTGCCATTTAGGACTTAATGAAATAAAATTTCTAAACTCTAATCTCAACCCTTAAACTCTCACCGACCTGACCCAAATCTCAAGCCCTCACTGACTTCACATAATGGTTCTTCCACAAATTTCACATAATACGAAACTCCTAATTTTTCAGAATTTGGTTGATCAAAAGCAATTGTTTTCTCTTGATTTGATTCGCATAATGGAAATGAAATGCCAGAAGATTAATCACCTAAATGACTTGATGATCTTTGTGCTTAGAAGAATTGCAATAAAAGCAAAATGAATCCCCTTTACAGTCTAAGCAATACATATTGCATTCGCCCCTAACTGCACCTTTGTGAGTTGTGCAAACTCTAAAAGAAACGCTATACTCAACAATGACTCTAGCCGTGGTGGCACCACCATTGTCCCAAAATGTTTCCCTTGGTGCAGTCGAGCAACGGTGGCTGACTCAACAATTGGCCCTTATCGATTCAAGGCTAAGACGCGCAAGAAAATTATCAACAAAATTGTGAACTTTTGCTAATGGATTGTTACTAGTGGTATTGTGAGCTTGCTATTAGTTGTTGGCTCAATATATATGTATATTGCAGCTGAAGAAACACATCTTTAGGTTAAATAAAGCAAGGGCATTCTCCATTTTTTAAATAGAAGAGAGAGCGGTACTGGTTCGTCGAGGAGCTTTGCTTCCTCTCTGATTATCTTTTTGTTTCAGATTAGATAATGTTTTTCTTGATGCATAATTGGAATGGTTGAACTTTACTGATGAGGTTGTACACGGGGTTTTAACTGAAGGGGAAAAGCATAAATATTCACATTATGGGTTCTGTTTGTTGCTGCTTGTGCACTGAGGAATCCGAGGATTATATGAATCCAAACATTAATGTATACATATACTGTTTATGCGTCGGTTGTCTAATTCAGAATTTCCTACACGTGTCACTAGTGGTTATATCTTCAAATAACTCTACTTTTATGTCTCAATAATGGTTATAAAACTGATGGTTCTATTGAATATTTCTTTGGTAGAACTTTTATGTTGTAAAAATATTTAGAAGTTTGGAAATATAACTATTTAATATTTTCTTTCTATGGTTCATGTGTTTGTTGATCGAGTTAGTAAATTATTTTCAGAACGTTCTGTCCAACATGTTTTGAAGGTAACCTTTCTTCACTGGTTTCAAAGGTGTTGTTGCCCACTTATGTGGTGAAATTTTGTTACTGGATATCTTTCCTGATCTGCTATGATGCTGCCATGGTGGTAATTCACATTTCTTGTCGTCTGCTAATTCTGATTTGGGACTCTAAACCACTTGTCTGTTTCTTGCTTATGAACCTCGCAAGGAAGTAATTTAGTTACAAGTCATACAAGGTTCGGATTTTAATGGATATATTATCTTCGTTTTATACTTAACTGTCATTTATGTGCAGATACTCCAGAGAATCCCAAGATCATAACAAAATGTTCCCACCATTCCATCTTGGTTGCATTTATGAATGGGTGGATAGAAGTGAAAACTGCCCATTCTGTGTAAAGGTATCCTCTCTTTTTTTCCCAGCTTAGAAAATGACAGAAGAATTTCCATTATCATCTCAAATGCAAACATGTATGTATAAAAGTAATCTCCATTGCTTAAATATTCATTAACATTTGTAATCCAGGACCAATCTCAAACATTTATTTTCTTGATGTTGGTAATTGAAATTATCAAGATGACTTCATTAATCTCAAGATTTCTGTACAAAATCATTAGGTCGCCAAGAATTCCTTGTTGAGAAATATTAAACAGGTAATAAATATGATAGGTATATGTATTTTCCACTTCAATTTGCATATGCCTAGCATCCAGGAAGCTATCACAGTATTGGTACTACCGTACTAGGTTGAGATTGAACTGAACCTCCTTGTTTGTTCCTTCCATGGCCTCGTAAACCCCTCTGCATGATTCATGTCAAAAGCTGGAGAATCAGTGTAATTGCACCAGGGTTGCAGCAAATCACATCGATTCATTATAAAGCACTTCTACAGTAAAAATAGAACCATGGTTTCTGAGAGAAGAGAGAGATAATATACCCTATTGTCAAAGAAGGAAACTGTGGTTGTACGGATGATGATGGTGGTGATAAGTTTTCTGCAGGGTTTTGCGGTTCCTGTTGTGCATGTTCAGACGGCGTCTTCTCTTTTTCTTTCAGCTTTATCCATGGCAGAAGTATTAATGAAGCCAAGAATGAAACTAGAAACTTCATGTATTTGAAGAATATGAGACGTGTGGTAATTTTTCTTTTTCTTTTTACCTTTTTTGCTAGCATGTTGTTCTGGTCATGGAACGTCCTTTCCTGTCACAAAGATTCAATCTCAAAATATCTCCACGCAATATTTGCTTTTTTTTTCAGATTTAATTATAGGTTTTTAAGTATTATAATCCAAGTCATGAAAGACAAGATCTTACTCTCTTATGCAGCTGTGAAATGGACTCATGCATGAGTTTATTCTGCATGTCAGAACAAATCATGGTTAATTAAACATAAAGCATTCAAATAACTAAAATATGTTGTGGAGCTTTTTTGTTGAATTTGATAGGCTGGTTTTCAAGAGAGTGTGAGCGCAATTTGCCTTTGTTCTAAGGGAACTCAATGCTATGACGGCAATTTTGCTAAAAAGGAGTTACGAAGACTAGCTTTGTTTAAAGCGTGGTGGTATTGACAAGATTTAAACTCAATCAATTTTAATGGGGTGTCTTTAATTGGCTTCAGAGTGTGAATAGGGGCTGTTTCTTTGAAAGAAAGTACGAGGCTGTTTTTTTTTGAAGTGGTGTAATATGTTATTTTCTTAGTTGTGTACTCTTTTTCTTCATTTAGGTTTAGGAAGGTTTTTAATGAGACATATAATCCGATTTAGCCGCTTTTAATCCCTTAATAAAATAGAAAAAAACTGAAATATGATGTTGAATTTTCAAATGCTTGTGTAATACCTTTCAAGTTCTTAGGCGCTTGAGAGAATTACCAATTTGTTGTTCCAAAAGTTGCAGGTCCCTCAGAGTCAAGGTATCAAGCCCTTCTCCTTGGAACTGTCTGCATTCAAGGATGAAGCAGAATTTCATGTTAGAAGATGAAGTTATAAAATTTAGAGGAATAATAATAAATTATCAATAGAAAATATAAAAAAAATATCATATACGGGAGCAACTTTCAAACATATGAAGTTACATTTGTACCTCAAGTTCCTTTGTAAAGCTTCAACAATTGAGGTAAGTTTCGAACATTCCAAAGACAAGTTTCGTACATTTGAGCTTTCAATCCCTTGAAGGATGCTAACTATCAAAGGAAAGGAAATTTTGGCTTATCCAAAAAAAGAAAAAGAAAAAACTATCAAAGGAAATTTTAACTGTATGAAATAATGATTTGCAGGATCGTATCATATACATTCATACGTGTGTAAATGAGTAATAAAATACTTAAAAATATAACATTTATGGTTATTTCTCAAATCCAAAGATCATTATTGTATTATATATTTAGATTTAGATTTTTTTTTATTAATTTGAGGTAAGTACAAGACAATATTTATTTAATCATTTGATATTAAACGCTCACACTCCTGGTATTCATGGTGTTTAAACCCGAAATCTCAAGGAATTACAACAATTCCTTTACTACTGAGATAATTGGTTCGTGCATATTTAAATATTTATTAGATATAAATTTTATAAAATTACAATATAATCTAAAATGAATACATGATTTACTCGGACAAAATACATTTTGAATAAATTTCATGATATGATGCAAGACATACTTGTGATTCAAAATCAGTTGGAGAAAGCTGCCTCGCTGCATATGATTTTTGTTCATATCGTTGTATGATTCTATCCAAGCTGTGTTTAGAACACGAGAAGTTAATTAAGGAAAATACTTACACTTGCGATGGAATTAAAATTAAACATTAGAAAATATTAAATTAATTTACAGTCAAGAAAAATATTTATTAAATATTTAGAATTTAAAAAAGATATAAAAATTTATTGACTAATGTTTAATGCAAAATGCCAGGAATGATTGTACATATGACTCATATATCTAACTTAATGTTTTATGAATTGTTGTTTTTTATATTTTATATTATTCTTGATATAATATCTAAATTAGTCAGGTCATTTTTTATTTATAAACAAGATGATATTATATATTTATATTTATATGTTTTATATTTTATATTTTAATATAAATAATGTAAATTAAAATTTATTTATTTTTTATTATTATTAAACAATGGATTCTTAGGTTATTACATTTGTATATCTTTAATGAAAAGTAAAAGGAA